GCTCCAAGTGCATCCCAGCTCCCTTCTGTCCACCTGCAGCAGGAGGCAGAGGTGCTGGGAACAGAGGACTTCCTTCTTGAAAGCTAACCTCTTCCTTACCGCAGGGGATTTCCTCTCCTCCACTTCTGGTGCCTCTGGGAAGCTCCAGTCTAGCCGTTGTTTGAGCCAGCCGGGCCGCACCCTGGAGCAGGTCTCTTCTTCCCTGAGCTCGTCTCTGAGCACCGTCAGTGCCACCCCGCTGTTCTCAGTCGAGCCTTGCAGCGGCACCATCCCTGCCGGCCAGGAGCAGCTCTTCCAGATGAAGTTCTCCCCGGTGTACGTGGGGGACTTTGAGAGCCGTATGCTCTGCAGGTAGGAAACGTCGAGGCTTGCTCACTTTTCAACTCATGCTCCCGATGGATAGTCGTGGTATTGCCTCTGATTGGGGTGGGTGGGACAGCCAGCTCCAGAGAGGCAGCAGAAACAGCCAACATAAGGGAGCAAAGAAAAATGATCATCCGGCTTTGGTAGAAGCAGGTATGGAGACACTGGGAAAAGACATTGTATGAAATACTAAGCTCCTGGAGGGTTGCAAAATCTGGAATGAGAGGTCCAGAAAGGCTGTCAAGGGGCCAGCCGGTCCCTAGCTATGCTTCCTTATCAGACAAGCACGGCCTCCTTGTCTACATAGAAACCTGTGTGCTGCAGTTGGTCTCTAGACACGTAACTGTTCATGTTTCTGCCATTTCACCTCCGCTGCCTTGGAGGCAGGCAGTGGAATTCTGTTCGATTTGCTGCTCAATGCTTGCACGGAGAGGGGAGGCAACACTCTGTGCTGTACAAGGAGACAGGCAAGCAGCTGGCTGTCTGGAAACGTTAGTCTGGCTAATACCAGTCCCTTTTTTCCTAGTATTCCTAACCTGAAGCCAAATCAGAAGGGCCCAGAGGTGGTCGTGAAGGGGAGAAGCCTGATGCCAAACTGCCACTTTGAACTGGAAGACTCTGACTACATCACTGCAAAAAGGCGCAACCCAGAGTTGCAGGGACCAAAGGGGGCAACGTTAGATCTCAACACAAGAGTGGTTGAGTTTGCGGCAATTGGAGTGTGTGGCAGGAACAGCAGGTAGGTGTGGGCATGGCTTCTCCTGTTGATGGTCTTCTAGTCATCCCCCTTAACCAGAGACCTCTCCAGCTACTCTTCCAAGCCCCAAGGCACATCTGTACCTTGTTTGTGATCTGCTGACACTTGGCCACCAGTTTGGGGCTGGAACAAGCTGGTCAGTGAAGACCAACTGGCCGATTTTTTGTTCTCTTTGTCCCTTTCTTCAATAAGGCATGGGTCATTCTGGGAAGACCACGTATCCCCAGCCTATGCTTTGTGGCCAATACAACCTTTGTCCCTTTGAAGAGCATCCTCGGGGCATTCTTGCTCCTTTGAGATACCAGTCAGACAGGGTCAGTGAAGGCTGTGACCACAACAGAGAACACCATCTTCCAAAGGAGTCTTACTGGACTTGATTTTACCATTTCATTTGCTCTTACCATTTTAACATGCAAGAGTTTGGCTAATTCCTTTGCTGATAGCCGTTAATTTTTAGCCACCTGAGAGACAAACAGGGCCCCTAGAAAGCAGGTGAAATGTTTGTGCTCCCAGCGTTGTTCCCCTACACCAAATAACTCCTTCCAGACGGTGTCCAGGACTGGCAGTGCCTGAAGTCTGCTACAGGACAGTCATTAACATCCCAACGCCCCCTTAGTATTCTTTTTGCTTTCTGTTCCCAGGACCTTCATGGTTATGAACCCAACCAGTTCCACGTATTCCATCCAGTGGACTTGCCAAGACCCTGAGGCCCCACCAGAACAGGTGGCTTTCTTCTGCCTCACGGAGAGAGGTCAGATCCAGCCAGGGAAGAAAGCAGAGGTGGGTACAGAAAATTAAGAAGGTGGACCCAGTACGCACGTATGCCAGTTTAACACCAGCTATGTCTACGCTTTCTGGGCGTCCCATCTCACTGTGAGCTTGCCAACACCGTGAAGAAACCTTTGACTGCAGTGTAAATGAACTGGCAGATGAACCTGTTCTCACCCCGTGCCCCACATCTGCCGTGCTTTTGGGCTGTAAGTGGCACAGCAGCCTACCTCTGAGCTCACAGCAACATAAGGTGGAGGTTCCTGGGGTTTCTTGGTGGTATAGACTGCACCCCCCCTCCCCTTACCCTGCCAAGGGCAGCAACTTTCCTTCATTTGCCTCTTTCTCCCACAGATGAAGTTTGAATTCATCCCCCGGCACCTGGAGATCACAGAATCATTCTGGGTCTTTACAATCCCTGAGCAGAGCATTTCAGTCCCGTTCCTGTTGGTGGGCAATGCCACCGACCCGCTAGTGACTCTGGACAGATCCCACCTGAACTTCCACTTGCTGTTAATCGGTGAGCACAGTGGTTATACCTTACATGCTCAGAAATGTACCTCTCCAGGGGCCCAGCAGTCCTGTTATCCCAGCAGGCTCCCACGAGGAAGCTGGAAATGGAAATGGGCTCTTCTGAGCAGAGCGTCCAGATCCTGGCACCCAAGTGTACGAGGGAATGGAAGGGGAAGGCAGGCAGGCATATGTCAGGGACATGGCATGTAGTTGGGGCTGTTTCCAGGAGGGGATTTGGGGGTGATGCAGGGGAGCCCAGGGGGTCAGAAGTACGTTTCCATGTTGGCATCCTGAGCATGCCATGCTGCAGGCAATGCTCCTCGCTGCAAATTGCCTGCTGGGCTCAGCCGGCAGGCAGGAACGCAGTGGGCAGTGGTGGTCTGGTGGCCAGAGGAACAAAAGGTTTTCAGCGGCTGCTTTGTCCTCTCCCTAGGGCACGAGGTACACCAGACTGTTTATATGATCAACAGTGAGAAGGAAGCCTTCAGCTTTGCTTTCAGAGAAAGCTCTCTCTTCTCAGAGGGATGCAACGCCTCTGTGAAAATAGAGCCCATGGAAGGCTCCATCGCTCCTCTTTCAAGGTAACAGGGCTCACAGGCCAGGTTCCCTCTCCTGCGTGCCAAACGTTGCACTGTCATTTTGTTTTTGAGGCTTTCTCCCCTCCGCAGTCACCAGCTGACTCAGCAATAGCATACATCTGCCTTATTTTGTTCCTTCCCAGTGGGGGACACCACGAAGCTGCAGGTTTCTCCGTAAAGTGGCTGCATCGGGGCTACCCCGGTCTTCCAGGCCCCCTTCCAGGAGAAATTCAGGCTTTGGATCTTCTAGTTTTGATGACAAAAGCGTGTTTGGGGGTTTTAACCCTGTGATTCCCTGAGCCAGCAGCCTTAAGTATGCAAGGTCTCCTCCCTTCCCTGTGTTCCTTTAATGACAGAGCCCACCGCGCATGGTCTGTGCAAAGCCGCCAAGAGCAGCAAAGCACACAAGCAGCACTGCAGGCAGCATTTAAGCCCATCACGGGGGACAGCAACAGGCTCACACACCTAGCTGTGTTTTGCAGGATCACCTGTCAGAAAATGGATGCTCTTTTTCTTGTAAACTGCAGCCGTGACTTGTGATCAGACATGATCATGAGTTCAAGCGGCATAGCAGGTCATCTGCTGATCCACCGCGGATATCCCTGTGCCCGCTCATAGCATGCCTGGGTGTAAGGAGAATGCATTAGCTCTGGGAAGCTTTGCTGTGGCTTAAAAGATGCTGAATTTTGGCTTGCCACAGGGTGCAAAATAAGAGAGCATCCTGTATCAGTTTCTGTGCTGACCTGAGAAGTGGCAATTCCTTAAATCTCTGTAGTTTGGTTGTGTTTGATCACGTACCCAGAAACTACCCGTAGGAATTACAAAGAGGCAGTTTGGTGGCACCCACGTTGTACTGCTGTCACGAGAGCTGGGCGATTCCTCTTTGCGAAGAGGATGTTACCCTTGTCATGTAGATAGGAGAGACTGGGGATCTCTGTGAGTGCCCTCCTCTGTGTTTGGGGCAGAAGTGGGGTCTCAACCCAGTGCTGCCCTGCAGCAGATGGGCAGGGCAGTAAGGTCAGCGTCAGCTCAGGGTTCGCTGGCTTGTTGTTGCATCCTCTGCCATTTCATTGCATGGGATCGTCATACCCCAAACAGTTCTCACCGGGGCTTGCTCCGTAGTGGAAGGCCCTGGAAGGGCAGAGTGCTGCTCCTGGTTTCTCCCAGGCCTGGGGTCTCACCACAGCCATTGCACAGCTGCTTTCCCGTAGAGCAGGCAGTGCGGGGCCAAGAAAGCTGAGAGACAGTGAACGGAGCAAAAAGGGTCTTCTCTCCCCAGGTTTCCCGTTACAGTCGTCTTCACACCAACGCTAGAAGGAGAGGCGGTCTTTAACCTCAAGTGCGATGTCAAGAGGAAGACCCAGCCCCTCTCCTTGAACATCAAGGCCACCGGCTATAGCATGAATGTGTCTGTCAGGTGTGAGGACAGCGACGGCTGTGTCACTGAGCTCAGCACACAGGAGATCAACGTCATTGATTTCAAAGAGGTGAGCAGTTCCCTAAACCATTTGGCCCATGAAGCCCTGCAAGATTGGGCCTTAACCAGGAGCTTTGCAGATACATTTGAACAATCATAGAATCATGGAATAGTTTGAGTTGGCAGAGATCTCTAAAGGCCATCTAGTCCAACCCCGGTGGGCAGGGACATCCCCAACTAGATCAGGTTGCTCAGAGCCCCGTCCAACCTGACCTGGAATGTTTCCAGGGATGGGGCATCCACCACCTCTCGGGGCAACCTGTGCCAGTGCTTCACCACCCTCAGCGTAAAACATTTCTTCCTTATATCTAGTCTAAGTCTACTCCCCTTTAGTTTAAAGCCATTCCCCCTTGTCCTGTCGCAACAGGCCCTGCTAAAAAGTTTGCCCCCATCTTTTTTATAAGCCCCCTTTAAGTACTGACAGGCTGCACTAAGGTCTCCCCGGAGCCTTCTCTTCTCCAGGCTGAACAACCCCAACTCTCTCAGCCTTTCTCCACAGC